CCTCCTGCCTCTAAACTCTTAACCCCGACCTGGAGAAGGTGATCCCCAGGGGACAGGACTCGCCCGCCCAGAAATATGCTAAATAAATAAACGTGTCCTGTCCAGATTTTATCTAATCAGGATTCCAGAGCACAAGACAAATGGCCTCATGCGCAGCTGGGAGGTGTAATTCATTCTCCTGGGTGAGTCCAAAGCCTGAGGGTGGGGTAGGGAGGGGAGAGGCAGGATGGTTTGGGGTGTGTGGACGTGCAGACTTGGGGCTCAGCCTTTCCCAGGGCCTGCTCAGGAATGGAAACAAACCTGGGATCCTTTAATTCAGGGGGTCTCTTTCAGGGACTTGTTCTAAGGAAATATATACAGGTCAGGCAAAGATTTAGCTACAAGGTTGTTCTTCACTGTGTTGCTAATAAGCCTGGAAAACTGGAAACAAGAGGGGATTGGTTAAATAAATTATCAAACATCCAGAAAATAAAACGCAATGCATCCTTTAAAACATGGTGTTCTAGAAGAATATTTAATGACATAGAAATAAGCTTATAGCATAGTGAGCAGAAAAATAAAAGGCCAATAAGTACATAAAATTATCCAATTTAAAAGACATTGATTTATTAAAAACATTGGAAGGATACACAACAAAATATTGACAAGGTGTGAAATAAGGGATAATTTTAGATTCCTACTTTTTTCTTTGCTTTTATTTTGGTTTTGCTTATCTGAAATTTTAATTTTTTTCTAGCATAATCATGCTCTTATTTATATAAAATGGACAAAAATAATAAAAGCTGTTGTTTTACAAACCAGCACCTCCAAGCTTTGGCTCAGGAAGGAGAATTCCCAGGTGGGAGAAACAGCTGCATCATATAGCCTTAACTCGGTCTCCCTCTGGTCACCCTCCCCTTTGGGGCACTTTTCTTCATTTCCCTGGCCTCTCCCTGGCTGACCACAGGGATGCCACTGCCTTTGCCATTCTCTGGACTGAACATAGCTAGAAACCAGACTTTAGCTTCTCTTAGCAGAGCACAGCTAAGAAACCTGGGAGGATTGTATCAATAGCATTAATAAACCCAAAGGGAAGACAACAGGATCATGAACATGGCACCCAGAAGAACTGTTGAACCAACCAGACTCCTTAGGCAGGGGTGGCTGGTCCTACCTTAGCCATGCTCCCTCCAAAGGCTCCCAGCTCCTGTCCTACTCTATGTAGGGATCCATGAGGGCACAGAGACCCCATTGAGTCTTCTGTCCCTTCCCAACCTCTAGCATCTTCTTCCACTTTCCACTTGGAAGGACCCATTTCTTCTTCAGGTACCTGATCCTGAGAATGGCCTCCCCTTTCAGGTGGGACCCACCACGAGATACAGAGAGTGCTCTAGCCCTTGGTCCAGGCCCTGGATAAAAATATCCCAGGGCACCCCGAAGCCAAGACACTCAATTCACAGGACTGACATAAGAGGGCTCTCGGGACCCAAGAAGCTCCCAGACTTCAAGAGCAGACACATTGGCTTAATGTCCACAAGCTTTTCTTCATGCTATTCCATCCACATTCTGCCTCAGAGAAGACCTGACGGGTAATCGATAAATTATATCCTCATTTAAAAAACTAACAGTGTTTAATGATTGTAACACGAATGTAGGCTCATTGTAAAAGTAAGAAAAAACTAGAAAAAGTGTAAGAATAAAATGAAAATACCCCATAATCAGCACACTAAACGAAGATAACCACTGTTAGGATACACATACACATTTAAATAACATTGAGATAATATTGTGCACATATACAAACATATTTATATATAAAATTCTGATTTTTCCATATAAACTACATCATAAGAATTTTCGTTGGTCATTAAAATATTCTTTGAAAATACAATTTTTTTTTTTTTGGAGACTGAGTCTCACTCTGTTGACCAGGCTAGAGTGCCATGGCATCAGCCTAGCTCACAGCAACCTCAAATTCCTGGGCTCAAGTGATCCTCCTGCCTCAGCCTCCAGAGTAGCTGGGACTACAAGCATGTGCCACCATACCCAGCTAATTTTTTTCTATATATTTTTTGTCGGCCAATTAATTTCTTTCTATTTTTAGTAGAGATGGGGGTCTCACTCTTGCTAAGGCTGGTTTTGAACTCCTGATCCTGAGCAATCCTCCCACCTTGGCCTCCTAGAGTGCTAGGATTACAGGCATGAGCCACTGCACCTGGCTGAAAATACAATTTTAAATGGCTGCTTACTATCGCATTGTATGGCACACTAACTATTAAACCAATATCCTAGTGTTAGACATGTAGACTGTTTCCAAATTGTTTGCTATTTAAAAAAATTAATAAACATCTTTACACATACATCTTTGTATACATCTCTCATTATTTCTTTAAGATAAAGTCCTAGGAATGAAATTACCAAGTAAAAGGATGCGAATCCCTGCAAAGTTCTTGGGCTCTGGGATGGATGTAAAATTGTTAAATTGTATTACAAGAGTCCCCATTATCCTCAAAGAACATGTTCCAAGACGCCCAGTGGATGCCTAAAATTGAAGATAGTACCAAACCCTATATATGCTATGTTTTTTCCTATACACACATGCTTATGATAAAGTTTAATTTATAAATTAGGCACAATAAAATAATAGAGCAATAACAATAGAGCAATTATAATATACTGTAATAAAAGTTAGGTGAATATTGTCTCTGTCTCTCGAAATATCTTCTCTTGTACTATAGATCTTAGCTATGGACACATATGGTTTTTAAAATTTCCTTATTAACTCAAGAACTTTCACCTTTTCACTCAAAGGAACCACTTTACAGCTTCTCTTTGGCATATCCAAATTGTCAGCACCACTACTCTTGCACTTTGGGGCCATCGCAAAGTAAAACAAGGGCTACTTGGACACAAACACCGAGGTAACGTGACCATCACCCTAATAACCCAGATGGCGCCCACGTGACTCATGGGCAGGCAGGTGGCATCTACAGTGCAGATACACCGGACGGAGGGATGATTCGAGTCCTGGGTGGGATTGAGCAGGATGGCAAGAGAGTTATCCACTCAGCACAGGGCTCAATTTAAAACTTCCGAATTGTTTATTTCTGGAATTTTCCATTGAGTGTTTTCAGATCACAATTGACCACAGGTAACTGAAACTATGGAAATCTAAATTGTGGATGAGGCGGGGGGCTACTGCAATTGAAACAATCCATACTTACGGGAACCCCCACTGCAGTGCTTTACCACAATTTGTTGCGTATTGTGAGACCTACGGAAGGTTCCGGCAATTCAGGTGCACCCCCTCCACCCACCCTGTGTGACTGTCCGTAGAGGTGGGCCAGAGTCTCCGGTGCTCCCTACATGGAGCTGGCTCTTCCTGCAGCCACACAGCTGCTTCCCTCAGCTTCTCAGAAGCACCCGGAGCCCTGGGGGGCCCTTGAGGGCCAAGCAGGGGAAGCTCAGGGGCTGTCCTGGGCTCAGTGGTCAGTGCCAACCTGGGAGGCCCCCTGGGCGGCTCCAAAGCTGCTCTGTGGAGGGTGTCCTTCCAACCCATCGTCACAGGCTCCCTGGGAGTGTTCAGGGCAGGGACCGTCATCTCCCTCTCCACAGGGAATCGGGGCCCAGAGGGGTAAAGAGGCTTGTCCAGGGCCAGCAGGTGAGAGACGGGACAGGGCCCCGGACTTGCACACCACCGAGCACTGCCAGACCAGAGGGCCCCGCGCAGCCTGAGCAGAGGCCCCGTGAGGAGGCAGGGCTCGTGCCAGATTCATTGCCAACAAATATGTATGGAGCACCTGCTGTGCACCAGGAGCCGACAGAACAGCAAGGACTCAAAAAAAGAAGCAGAGCTCCTGCCCTCAGTAAACTTAACATTCTAGTGGGAAAAACAGACAATAACCCCCCAAACCATGTCTGATGATATTAAGACCTGTGAGAATCAGAGCAAGGTAAAGTGGACAGAAAGTGGCATGGAAGGGTGGGTAACTTTTAGATGGGATAATCAAGGAAGGTCCCTCTGGGCTGATATTTGAGCAAAGGCCTGAATAAACTGCAGGAGTGAGTCCTCCCTCATGGAGGCAGGGGGAGCAGCAAATGCAAAGGTCCTGGGGCAGAAGCAAGATGGAGCAGAAGTCAGGAGGCCAGTATGGCTGACACAGACACTTGACATCTGTCCTCATGAATATTCAAGAAGAGGAGACTCCACTGTGACAAGCTGGTCTAGGCCAGAAGGCAAGAGAATGGCAGAGGGCGGCCGTCACAATTCTAACACCCTGGTCAGGTGTTTACGTCAAGGCTGCAAGGAGGAGGCATGGTCTAGAGCTGGAGCCCATGTGCTGGGTGTTGAGAGTCCAAGGCTGACTAGGCCTTCTAGGGAGTCCGCAATCCCATGGGGCCGACAGATGGGCACAGTTGATAAGCATATGGCATGGCAGACAGGGAAGACTTCCTGAAGGAGGTGGTATTTGATTGGGGCACTGAGGGATGAACAGCTGAACTGATTTAAACAGGGAGGGAAGTGGGAAATGCACTTTAGGTAGCAATGCTTGTTTGCTGAGGAGGGCAAGAGGGATCCTCCCAGCAGTTGGATATTAGGGCATGGAGCACATGGCCTTGATGTGGGATTATCACTGGGAAGTAGAGAAAGTAGAGGATGAGAAGATGAGAGGGTTCAGAAGAGAACCCTGGGTGGCAAGGCCATGTTGGAGGTGGGGTTGGAAAGTTCTAGAAGGGGGCTGAGGAAGAATGTGGAGGCATGAGGAATACCAGTGGAGTGGGCTGTCACAAGATCTAAGAAAGAACGACAGGGAAAATATCAAGTATTGACAAGAGGTCAAGAGAGAGGCACTGATCACGGCCCATGGATGGCAAGAATTTGGTCCCTGGGGACCCTGGCAAGGGCGGGGTTGGTGCAGTGGGCAGAGTAGAGGTCCGGGGTGTATCCATTTCCTGTGGCTGCTGCAACAGATCAGCACCAGCAGAGCGGCTTAAAACAACACACATTTATTCTCTTACAGTTCAGGAGGCCAGAAGTCCAAAGGCAGTGTCACTGAGCTACGGCCAAGGTGTCAGCAGTGCTGGTTCCTTCTGGAGGTTCCAGGGAGAGAATCCATTTCCTTGTCTTTTTCAGCGTCTAGTGGCCACCTGTGTTCCTTGGCTTGTGGCCCCTTCTGTTTTCAACGAGCATCACTCTGACCCCAGCTTCCTTCATTGCAATCACCTCCTCCTCCAATCCTGGCTCCTGTGCTCTTCCTAGAACGACCCTGTGATTACATTAGGCCCACCCGGATGGTCCGCGCTAACTCAGTCACAGATGAAAGTCCTGTGCAAGGTAACCAGGACAGACTTGGGGGATTAAGACAGGACCAGGAGGAGGGCATCATCCAGGCCCCCACAGGTGACAAGGGGCAGACCGTGGGAGGGGATAGGACATGGAGGGGGTGGGAGGACAGGACTCATCAGGAAACTTGAATGAGAAAGGAGAGTGGGACAGGATTTGGCTGGAGGAAGAACCCTCCTGACCGGAGGGAAGTGGCTTTTAGGATTTTTTCCCTGTGTCTCCTTCCCTCCTTCTTTCCCCAAAGCCAATTAGAAAACTAGAAACACACTGTGTTGTGTTGATTCCATAAGGTGTCGCTTCCCCTCAGCCCTGACGCCTGCTCACCAAGGGTCTTCCAAGCTGGGTGAATCAGGATCCACATTTTTAAACCACAAGGCAAAGAAACCCAGAGCTACCAAGAATAATATTTTATTGGCTTGGAACAAGTTTTCGAATCTGTATTTTTAACAAGCTGCCCAGGTGATTTCGATGATCGGACAGTTTGAGGCGGGGTGTGTGTGGGTGTGTGTGGGTGTGTGTGTGTGTGTGTGTGTGTGTGTTTTCCCCTTTCCTCTTTCTCTTCCCTTCAGTAAACTGTTTTTCAACTTTGTTTTTCAGTGAAAACCATTTCCTCCTCACCGTGGAACAGGTCCAGAGGCTGCGCCCATCTCTCCCACGTCAACAGCCCCGCGTCCTTGGCGAAGGACAGTGCTCTCATTCTGTGCCTTCCCCTCCCCAGCCAAAGCCCTGCCCCCGCACCTCCCTGCAGCCCATAAAAAGGCAGAATTACCTGAGGCCGGGAGGAGTGGAGTCTGCAGGGGCCACGCTTGTCCCCATCCCCGCTTCCCTTCCTCCTCCACTGCATTTTCCCAAAGCAGCTCTGTGCAGGGCCTGGGGGTGTCCCTGGTCTGGGGTTAAATCCAGCCCAAACCACCCCTCAAAGCCAACAGCCCCGAGCGAGTGTGCAGCAGTGCAAGAGCTCTTCCTGATGCCAAACAGAGATGTCGGCCCTTCAAGGGGGATGAACTGATTGGGGACAAAAGGCAGTCGTCGCCCAGGAAGGCAGGATTTGGGGAGCCTTGCGCTGCGTGGAGGCGGGTGGGTATGTTTCCTTGGCTCGCAGAGGCCCCTTGTCTGGTGGGATCAGCTCCTCCAGCCAGTTTCCACCTGGCCCAGCTTTGGGAGATGCGGAGAATGAATTTCACAGTGATTTCCACCAGGCCATGGCACTGAAACAGCTGCAGGGGGGACACAGCTGGTGCTGCCCCCACCCGTTCCATCAGAGCCGCTCTGGAGGAATGCCACCCTCCCCGTGGGGAGCGAGACGGCCCGCTTGCTGTGGCTGGTTCCGGGCACCGTGGGAAGGTACCTGGAAACTGCACCTCCATTTTCAACAGCACAAGCTGGCTTTTATCTTTAAAAATCCCATTATCACTTATTCCAGTGGCTCCCAGACCTGGCTAACCATCAGGATCACTCAGGATGTTTATTTGAAAAATAAAGATTAATCAAAATAAAGAGTTTTAGAACCCATCCCAGCCCTAATCAATCAGAATCTCTCTGGGTAGGCTCAGGCTGGGGTCGGTGTGAATGTGGTTAATCAGATTGCCTCCCTGACTCCAGAAGGCTGAGCCCCCAGGACGAGAGGGGGAAGATGGGATGGTGAGGGCTGGGGTGACGAAGAGTAACACTCACAGTCACTATGCATGGGCGCTCGAGATGGCCACACTCTCAGCCAGAAAGAGGCAGAGCCAGAACTCAGGCCCAGATCTTTCTCTTAACCCCTCCGCCACGGACAATGTGAAACCCGGGCCCCGCCTTGGGGTCAGGCCAGGACATGACCTGGTCATGGCACCAGCACAATCTGTGTCTGGACACTCTTCTCTGGTGGGCTCTGTCTCGGGGCTTCAGCAGCCCCCTGCTCACTCCCCTCATGCCTGGGGACACACAGAGGTGGTCAGGACATGGCCACCCTCAGGATGCGGTGGTTCCTGGAAAGGACATGGGACTGGAGCAAGGAGAGGGCCTTCTGGTCCCAGCACCACCCAGAGTTCTGGACACAGCCTCAGTGTCCTTTCTGTGCAAAGAGGGGACCAGACTGGGTAGCCTCTGGGGGCTCATCGCATACCTACAAAGCAGACTCTGGTCACCTAACTGCCCCTCCATTCTAGCATGTGGCCTTTGCTGACACATCTGTCTGCCCCACAGGGTTGTGGCTTCTTGTCTCTATGCTACCAGCAGTTTCTAGCACATAGTAGGTGCTCAGTGAGATCACCATTCATTGATAATCAGCAGTCATGTATTAGGCACCTATTGTTAGCCCCAGGCACTGGGCTAAAATACTTGGGATTCAGAAAGGGCCCTCCTCCCACGGAGCTTATAGCCTAGCAGAGAACAGAAACACAATTAATACATTAATTAATTACAATCGAGGTGAGTGCTAGGAAGAAAAATAACAGGGTGGCTCAAGAGTGTGGTTAGTGTGTGTGTGTAGCCTCTAATTTAGACCGAGGGAACAATGAAGGCCTCTCTTCATTAGGAACATGTAATCTGAGGCCTGAAGGATGAATAAGAAGCTGGTAGAAACGAGTGGGGCGAGTGCTCCCGGCAGAGGGAGCAGCAGTGCAAAGGCCCCGAGGTGGCCAGGGGGACACTCGAGGGCCGGCTGAGGGCAGCTCGGCTGTCGCAGAGGAAGCAGGCAGGATGGGCGTGGCGCTGGGTGCCGGAGGGGAGGCTGGGGTCAGACCACCAGGGTCTTACAACAAGAACTTTGACCTGCACCCCCAGCACCATGCAAAACCCTTGAATGGCCATTATCACTGGGAGCAGGATTTCAGGATTTGGGGGCTAGGCTCTGGCTGGGAAAAGGCATTTGGGGGGGCAGTGGGTGGAGGAAACACAAAGAGAGCCCCTAACGGGGGTCCTGGTAAGATCCAGAGCCCTCATGGGAGGACCTGATAAGAGAAAGCAAGGATTCCAGCAGCACGTGGCTGGTTCTGGCTCTATCCTGACTCAGCAGTGCGCAGAGAGGGGAGGGCTGTGCCCGCTTGACCGGATGTCCAAGGAGGCAGGAGACCCCGTGGCTATGGGGTGGAGCTGGAATTGCCCAAGGACACTGCCCCTCTGAAGCTGCAGGGAACAAGCTGAGGCCCAGGGAGGGACACTTGCTGTGGGAGGCTGAACAACGGCCTCCAAATTCCTTCACGTCCTCCTCACCAGAACCTGGGAGCACGTTTCGTAGCTTACTATGGAAAAGGGACTTTGCAGATGTGATTAAGTGAAGGATCTTGAACCGCGGATTACCCAGGTGGCCCCATCTAGTCGAAGACTTAAAAGAGGGATGCAGGGGGAGTCGGCACCAGTGAAGGAGGTGAGGTGATGAAGGAGGCAGGTGTCACAGTGTGGCCCTTGAAGATGGCAGAGGGGCCACAAGCCAAGGAACACAGGCGGCCACTAGAAGCTGGGAAAGGCAAGGAAAGGGATTCTCCCCTAACGCTTCCTGGACTGTAAGGGGATACATTCGTGTTGTTTAAGCCCCTCCGTCGGTGCTGATCTGTTGCAGCAGCCACAGGAAATAAAGGCACTTGCCCAGAGCGGCAGAACTCGCCAGGGCTGAGCCCGCTGGGACCCGGGGGGGCCCCCCTGCTCCGTGGAGTCCTGGGCCGGAGTGGAGGCGAGGCTGGGAGGAGGCCCCAAGCCAGGCCTGGGGGGACGTGCATGCACCAGAGAGAATGGAAGAACTCTTCTCCACGCATCGGGGATTTTCCTGGCAGACGATCCTCCGAAGGCATGTCAACATTTTTCTCTCCAGGAAAATCTAACTCAGTGTCTATCAGAAAAGAGTTCACACGCACACACACAGACAGGCTCTCGGGCCTGGGGAGAGACAGACCGAGCTGCTGGCTCCGGGCGACTTTCTGGGCTGCGGAGGGCAGGGATACAACTGCAGCCAGAGTGCTGTGGACACATTGTGACATCTGGATTTCCCCAAAGCTCTAGGGGCGCTCCCACTCCCACCCCGCAGCGCTTCCCATGTCCATGAAATCTCTGGGAAGATCCGACACATTTCTTAGCAGTGGAGAGCAGTTGGAATTTCCAGCCTAATCCCAGATGTGGGGCTGACGGGAAGGGGAGTGTGGCCTTGGAAAGCACAGGGGAGGCTGGCAGGCCCCTTGGACCCCCAGCACTGGCCTGGGCCGGTGTGCATGTCCTTCTCACTCTGGGTTGTACGGTTGGGCTTTCTGTGGGGAGCAGGAGAGCTTACCCGTGTGTGCGTGCGGCTCCCTGGCGTGTGGAGAGGGCTGGCGGTGCCAGAGCTGGCAGGCTGGAGCCCGCAGTCAGGAGGCGGCAGACCGCCCTGGGGCTGGGAGCGGGGGCCCTGGCAGGACAGGAATCTAGAGGGCCAAGGGGACAGAGGTAGAGCTGGAGAGAAGTGTCCTGGGAGAGTGGACATAGGCCTGAGGCCTGGCCGGGGCTGGACGTGGGGCAGGCTGGGAGGGAGGCTCGGAGGCCCCAGGGCCAGTCTGAACTGAGGATGAGAGCTGGTGCCCTTTATCCAGCCAGGGAGCCCTGGTTCCTGGGGACTGAACAGTTCGATTCTCCAGACAGGCTTGCAGGACAGAGGGTGCCTCAGCAGGACCAGGGTCCCCACTGGGTGCCTCAGTGAAACCGTGGGAGGATTAAAAATGTCACCCTCTCCTGCCAGCCTGTGATTAGCCTCGTTGTTAGATAGAATGAGGATGCCCCAAAGATGTCCACATTGTCATACCCAGAACCTGTGAATATGTTACTTTATAGGCAAAGGGACTTAGCAGATGTGCTTATGTTAAGGATCTCGAGATGGGAGATTATTCTGGGTTACTTGGGAGGGCCCAGTGTCATCACAAGAGTCCTCATAAGAGGGAGGCAAGAAAGACCAAGGTGGTAGAAAAGGCATGTGGGATGAGACCAAAGAGATTTGAAGATGCTCCCTGCAGCTGATTTGGAAGGTGGAGGGAGGGACCACGAGCCAAGGAATGTGGGCGGCTTCTAGAAGCGGGAAAAGGCAAGGAAATGGATTGTCCCTGCAACCTCCAGAAGGAACACACCTGCCAACACCTGTTTTTAGCCCAGAGATGCTGATTTTGGACTTCTGGGCTCCAGAGCTATATAATAATAAATGTGTGTTATTTTAAACCACTAAGTTTGTGCTGATTTGTTAAAGCAGCCATAGAAAACAAACACACCTTCCCATTGCATGGTGGGCTCCAGTCTCTGCTTGGCTTCCTGCGACGAGCATTTTCAGCACGACACCTGCCATCTGGCCTGCCCCCACACCCTGGCTGAGCACCAGTGCAAACCACAGGAAGGACACCGGGAGTTGCTGCCACCCACCACCCAAGGCCTCCAGTCTCGGACAAGATAAGCCTTGTCCAGGACCTTTCCCCCATGGCCACTGCTTTTCTTTGGCCATAGATGAACCAGGCGTGGGCTCATTGTCCCTCCACTGCAGCTCTCTAGCCACCCCCACCCCACGCTCTTGGGCTCTGCTCCACACCTCTCAACAAGAACAATATTTACAAGCTGCAAATAAGAAAATCAGAACAGAAAGAGACACACAGAGAGCTCCGGAAGGCCTTGCTTCCTGGGAACTGGAAGTCAGCAAGATCTGTAGTAAACGGGGTTTTAACAAACAAACTCAGGGGCTGTGCTGAGTGAGGGGCAGGAGGTGGCCAGGCTGGGTCAGTGCGTGTGGACATGGGACAGTTCAGAGGGCCCCACATCCCTATCTCTGAGAATGTTGAGATTGCAAAGCAATCTCCCCAACCCCCCCATGCATCCCAGTCCCCATCCCCAGGTCAATTATTTTTCTCCTCTCCCCTTACAAGCCCAAGCATAGCTATGCACAAATCACACAGCCACCACATGCACGCGAATATACACAAGGCCACAAACAGTGCCAAACTGTGCAAAGAGGAAATGGGCAAATGCACATGCACAGACCACACACTTACAAACACGCACACGCACCTACGGACATCTACATGCCCACCAACGCAAATGCATCCACTTCCCATGCTGCATACACGCACACAGATGCACGCGAATCTAGACACTCCTATACACGGCTAAAGACCACCATGCATGTGGGCACGCAGCCTTCTGTCCCCTCCCCCACCCAAGCCCTCCTGTGCTTTGCTCTGGGGCCCTCTGCTGGTGAAGCCGGGAACGGGCGCTCAGGCCCTCCCTGGCCCTGGAGCTGAGCCAGGGGCACTGGGGTTTGGAGGGAAGGGAGATGAGGAGCGAAGGAGACCAGCCAGGGCCAGCTCCTAGCGCTCAGTACTGCTGCCTCCACCTGGCCCGCAGGACTCTCTGTGGTCTCCAATCCAGTGTGGACGGAGAGATTTCTCCTGCAAAGATCTCCCTTGGGCTTTTTGCGAGACCCAGGCCCACCCTGTCCCATCGGTGGACACTTCTAGTGTGCCCGCTGCGGAGG